ATCTGTAGTGATTTTTAACGGTACCTCAAAACGTGAAACATATTCTCTAAAAAATTGATTTGCAACCACTGCCGCTGAAATATCCTTTAATGCATATGCTCGGGCCAACGCGTGAACCTGTCAACTATTGTAAAAATCTAACGATGTCCTTTCGATACAGGAAGAGGTCAAACAATATCTAAATGAATATGATCAAATCTACTTTTGGGAATCGGAATTTTAATTACTGGAGATTTATTGTGACGATTAACCTTCGATTTTTGACAATTCATACATTCTTTTGACCAAATATTAATTTCTTTGTGCATTTTTGGCCAATAGTACTTTTTAGGCCTGGGTAACGGCGCAAATTTTTTGGCGCTGACACACTAACTCCAGCGCCACTGTCGGAATCAGCACAGTGTGTTGGCGCAATTGCGCCTCTTCAGGTTAAAGCTCATTTCCTTTATTGCTGCACGCTGCACCAAAGTGAATTAATACAAGGTGATATCGGTTGAGAAAAAACCCAAAAATACAACAAACCCATCATTTTCACATTCAGAAGGACCGCGACGAATTCTAGCTGTGCTGCACATTTTACAAGAGACATTTCTATTTCGAGTGTTCTTTGCTGGTTCTTTGCGACACCCGCTGTTGTCAGTGTTCCGGTGCTGAACTAAGGTGAATTAATACAAGGTGGTATCGGTTGGGCAAAAACAAGCCAAGTTCAAAGCCCAAAAATACAACAAACACATAATTTTCACATTCAGAAGGACGGCGGCTAATTTTAGCAACACCACCTTGTAAAAATTCGCCTTGTGTTGCACATTTTAAAAGTGACACTTCGCTTTTTTGTGTTCTTTGTTGGTTCTTTGCGCCGCCGAAGGTTGTTAGTGTTCCGGTGTTGCTGGCGCCATTGCGTCACAGAGTTGTGAAAATCGGTATCGGCGCCGGTAACTCAGCTCTCGGTATCAGCGCAATGGCGCGGCGCCGCACTGTGTTACCCACGGCTAGTACTTTTTAATAATTAGACGACGTGTAGCTTTTGTACCAGGATGTGTAATGCCATGTAACATATTAAACACTGTCTTGCGTAAACAATTTGGAATAAATGGCCTAGGATTCTCACCTGTCATTTCACACCAAATATTAAAATTTAAAAGTGGAATTTGAATTAATTTAAGGTTATGTGATGTGTCTCCAGATTTTAATGTGTTAAGTTCCTCGTCCTGTTCTTGTTCATTTTGTAAAACTTTGAAATTCAGTTCTGTACCCTTAATTGCA